CGTCATCCACAGGCGCCCACGCTGTGAAGCCGTAGGGCTTCTGTCTGTCCGAGTCATCGATGATCCTCCTTTCTTTCTTCACTTCCTTCTCTTTGTCTTCTTTTTGTTTTTTCCTCTGTGGCCTAATAAACAACAAGGAAGATGTTGAACTGAGTAGGTCACACATGGCAGCTTATCTGCTGAGTGCACAACATACTGGTTCTAGTGGATATCAATTCACCTGTAGATTAATATACTAAGAGCTGATTTTCTTAAACTAAAGTTTGCAAACTCACTTGACAGCTGCAAAAGTCCTGACAGGCAGATTTCTCGGAGCGGTCGGTGATACGTCTGTGAAGGCCGGACCTCCGGCTCTCAGCAGCTGCCTCTGACATCCTGCAAAAACTGGGTGCAGATGACAAACTCGATGTAACACACTTAGATGCTGTGGGTAAGCAAATTAAACTGAATACCAGAGGTCAGATGTTTTTCTGTGATATAATAAAATATGTTTCAATGATAAGGAAAAAAACGTAATACCACAAAATACCACAAGAAAAGTATCTATGTGAATCCGAAGCAGAATGCATCACATGTAAACATTGGAAAAATGTGCCATTATATGAGATATTTTATTATTATATAATGACATTTTATCATGAGGACAGAAAGCTCACTCATATGCAAGATAAAAATGTGCTTTGCAAATGTCACCTAGTCTGTTCACTGGCACTAGTTATGTCAAGGGGCTGCCATCACAATCACTTTCCCCAAATCTCACCGTCTATGTGAGAGTATAAATACTTCTGTTAATTATAAGCAATACATCTGAGGTACTGCCTGGTTGTATGCAGTTAAATGCTGTATTGTGATGTTGTGGTTGTTGCTTTGTATGTAACCCCTTCACTAACAAGTGAATTAATATACATAGCATCGGTTATTTTCGTTTTTTCCCTCTAGGTTGATTTCAGACATCTGACAGTTATACACGCACTTGATAATAAGCACATACACACAGTGGCGACTGGTCATTAGGGGCACAGCCCCACCTAGTGTCAGCAGAAAGTATTAAAAATAATAATTACAAAAGAATGCAAAAAAAACAAAACATCTTAAAATATATTTTACGATCATGTTTAATCAACTGATTCGTCTGTGTTCTTCTAATTAGTGTCTACAGTGTGCCTATTGAGCCGTTTTGAGTGACGTGGGTCAAGCCCCGATCAAGCCCCTGTCTCTCACTGTCTAAGTGAATGGAAGCTGTAAAAACTACACTGCGCATGCCCAGAGTCTTTTTCTATTCAATGTGTGCGGCAAAAAAATAATCGCCATCGGGCAGTGGTTCTCAAACTTTTCCTGTCATTCCCCACTTTGAACAGGTGGGCCTTTTCAACCTTGACTTGAAGATGAAGTCCATTTGCCTATCCTTCTGGACACAAATCTCTATTACTTTTTTGTAAAAGTCCTCCTTATCTTCTTGTAGTTTCAAAATCTAATCATAAATCTAATCGATAGATTTAGGATTAGAAAATTATAAAAGTAGGGTAGACAAAACGTGCATTTATCTAACAGGTACGTTTCTGGCAGATCTTATTTCGAGCTATTTTCTAAAATCCTATGGAGAAATCTCATTGCTTTTTTGTCGAGGGAACCCATGCAAATAGATAAAGGAGCTACTTTCAAAAAACAAAACAAGTCGTGAGCTCTTTTACTCCTCTTTTCTTGTTTTTTTGCAGTGTATATATTTAGCTCATTTTAACATTATTATATGCTTACCTTTAACCTTTGTGTGCTGTTTGGGTCTGTGGGACCCGTTTTCAGTGTTTACTAAAATAAAATGTATTCAATTTAATTATTTTAACCTGCTTTATTTGGGGGTGGACCTCACATCCTCTAGGGGGGTCCGGGGGCATGCACCCCCAGGAAGATTTATTTTAAATGTTGAAGTTAAAAGCATCAATCTGGTGCACTTTGAGCACAACATGAATTGATGGATACAGCTCTCAACACTCAGATGAAAGGGAGCTGTATACTTTTCAATAATCCAAACATCTTTAGAATATGATCACAACCAATAACAAATCATTTAAACTTGTTTATTCTTATCTTATCTTACCTAGTTAGCATTCTTTCTTTTTATTTAAAAAAAATGTATTTAAAACCTAAAACCCAGAAGTAAGCTGCGCATGGGTTCCCTCGACAAAAAAGCAATGAGATTTCTCCATAGGATTTTAGAAAATAGCTCGAAATAAGATCTGCCGGAAACGTACCTGTTAGATAAATGCACGTTTTGTCTACCCTACTTTTATAATTTTTGAATCATAAATCTATCGATTAGATTTATGATTCGATTTTGAACCCTCAAGAAGATAAGGAGGACTTTTACAAAAAAGTAATAGAGATTTGTGTCCAGAAGGATAGGCAAATGGACTTCATCTTCAAGTCAAGGTAAGACCGCAATTTTATTGAAAATGGGATCTTACTAAGAGAGAACAATCCAATATTTAAATGATAAAATTAAAAAATGTGGGTATCCTTTTGTTGAACTGTCTGTTTAAAATTAATCGAAGCATCAGACTAAAAAAGCTTTGGAAAATAATATTATATTTTGATTTAGGTCAAAATATAATATTTGTAAACCTGAAGAGTCAGTGCCAGTGCCTCACCAGCCATGAACCTCACTGCAGAAGCTTAATAAACATCTAAGTTTTTTGTGCCCCACCACTTTTGTACATATAAAAACGCAACTACATACACACCATCATAATAACATGTAAAGCTATAATATAACCATCAATCATCTTGATGCTTTAATTCGTCATATACTTATGATCAACTAAGCACTACTTTAAAGTGGACCTATCATGCTATATTTAAATGATATATTGTAGGGCCATACCTATATAAGGTATATTTATACGTTTCTGTTTACAAAATACCAAACAGATCATGCATTTTAGCCATGCCTCATTTCACTCTATGTGCTGTTTGCTGTCTACGGGTCTGAGTTTGTGAGCTGCAGCTGACCACGCCCCCCTGCAGGAGAGGGGAGCCGTGCTCTGATCAAGTCAAGAGGGGGAGAAAAAAAAATCTCCGTCCTCCGTGTTTTATTATATTGTTATAGGCCTATAGAGTCGTTATTCATTTGTTTTAAAGCTCAATAAATAACAAAGAAGACCTTTGACCGGCACTTTTCTAATTTTGTCCGGAAGATTTAAACTTTAACGGACATCTTGACCGGCGAAAGAAACTGAAACTCTGCCGCACGGTCCCCTCGTTCCTTGGAAGAGGCGGAGAGGTGGGTGTTTGTCATCTGCTGGTGGACTAACCGGAGAGAATTACAGTGCTTGCCTCGACGGGGAGGGATTGCATTGAATTAAAGCAGCGGGAGCAAACGCTTGCCTCGGGGAGGGAGAAAAAAAGCCACAGCGGAGAATAAACAGAAGTGTAACCATGGTAACTATGGGCGGGAAGTCTTCTTCGCTGCTTTTGTGGCAGACTACAGCGCCACTTACAGGCCTGGCATATGTACTACAGCGTCTCCAGCGCTTTCGAGCGGCAATGGCCGGCCGTGGCCCAACCCCACATTCCCCTGATAGGTGGAGAGTTGGCCCAATAGCCGTAGCGCCACTTCTGTGACGTCATTGAAGTGTTCAAATCTGGATCAGTTTTTATCAGATCCGTTGCAGCCCCTTTTTTAGAGATTTGGGTATGGAGGAAAATAGAGAGGGTTGTGTTTTCTGACACTTGGTGAGTTCCCTGGAACACCGGGGACACATATTCATGTATAAAAGACGTACAAAAGTGCATTTTGCATGATAGGTCCCCTTTAAGTTATCGATTTAAAAAAAACTCGTTAGAACTTTAGATTACCGCCCACCACAATGTATTTTGGTTCAAGGACGCGCTAAAGAACTGCTCATTTAATATATTTGGAGAGCTGACTTGTTTGTTAGATGAATGCAAAATAAACAGAGAATGTCAATAATTTAGTGAGTAGGTTAAATGAATGTTGCACCGTGCGATGAATTATTTAGTACGCAAGGAGGTTGTAAAACAAGTAAATACATGTGAGATCTGTACTGATCTGTAAGTTAGTTAGAAGGCAGGCTAACAGGTCAGGCTGTAATGACTATTTAGCGCTTTAGCAGAAACAAGAAACCAAAAGACAAGCCTGAAACAATAAGCATGTGTTCATCTTAGTAAATGCTTTCCCTGAATGGTAACTGTCAGCAGAAATGAAGTAAATAACACAAAAACAACTGACCTTTCCACACTGTACGCGTGCAGGATGCCATGTCTGGGAATTCGGTTGGTCCGTGTGAAAACAACGACTCGTGCTAAACAGTTCCGCCTGGGTAGTTCTTCTTCTTCTCTCGGTTTTTGGCGGATTGCAAACAACATTAAGGTGCATACCGCCACCTACTGTACATGAGTGTGAATCATCATATAATTCCATCAACTCCAATTCCAATTCCATCGACGTATATCTATGATCTAATAAAAAAAAATAAAAAAAATAAACAATAAATAAAACAAAACCGCCTGGGAAGTAAAAACATACCTCATTTAAAAACCGTCCAACTATTCACGTAGAATATTGGATAATATAAACACAACCATGAAATACTTAGATACTTGTGATGGTCAATAATATTCGGAATGTGTTTAATTTGCCAATGTTTACTTGTTTTTAGTAAGCAAGGAAAGATTCGTCATTTCCACAGAATTTATCAAAGACAAAAAAAATGTCTTGTTGGATAAATGGATGCTGAGTTTTCCACTGGCTTCTTGATATTTAAAATAAAAAAAACTGCAATACATGTCTATATAAGACAACTGATATAATTTATAGTAATACTAATTAAACAAGAGTTTGTTAACACAAAAGCATATGGTATTTTATTTATTCATTTTATTACTATGTTTTATGAGTTTTAATATCATTTTTAGTAGTTTGACAGGTGACATTGCAGGGGAGAGGATCCGGGGGTTCATATCGCGTGCGGACGAGCACGAGCGGAAGCAGCGTTTGTTGTTCTTCCTTCTGTTTCCGAGACGTTCAGGGTCTGATCGGCTTCAACAGCCGTGTCTGCATGTCTCTACCAATTATTCCCTCTGTACATCGTTTTATACCGCTCCCGAATGAAGGTAAGACCAATTCAGACTTTGTTTGATTGCTGCGGACACTATGTTGAGGTTGTCCTGGGATACATGTGACAGTTAAACCTGCTTCCCTTCATACCAACTCCGGCTACCCCCGCAGTCCGCCTCCGTGAGCCGGGCGGCGTGCGCCCTGCTGCCGCTAGCCAAACAAATCCAGCGCCGTGCTTTGAGCTCACTGGGGCTTTAACCTGTACGTACTCTGTTTAGACGATATTTAATAGTTTAACGTTTCCAAATGTTTAATTTGGCATAACCAGAGCGCGTGTTTACCTCGCTGCCAGGTGTGACAGCTGGTGAGCGGTTGGCCGAACTTCACGTGAACGGGCCCCTGTCCATGCAGCGCTACGTGCTTGTCACTTTTGACATTACAGCTATGTTTGGATACTCAGCTGTTGGTGCAGTTGCCATCGCTATTTTCCATTTGCAAAAGCTCCTGACATGTTAAAATAAATAACAGTTGGCAAAGCAACAGATGCTGGGGTTTACCATTTGGTGTAAAGAAACTAAGTACCTTTACTCAAGTACTGTACTTAAGTACAATTTTGAGAGACTTGTACTGAACAAATGTTTTGTTACTTTGTCATTTTCCTCCACTACAATTCAGAGCTAAATGGTGTACTTTTACATTTATTTTGCACCTTAAGTTACTTTACAGATCTGGATTAATGATCTGAAATATAATCAACTCTTAAAGGGGACCTATCATGCAAAATGCACTTTTGTACGTCTTTTATACATGAATATGTGTCCCCGGTGTTCCAGGGAACTCACCAAGTGTCAGAAAACACAACCCTCTCTATTTTCCTCCATACCCAAATCTCTAAAAAAGGGGCTGCAACGGATCTGATAAAAACTGATCCAGATTTGAACACTTTACTGACGTCAGTAAAGTGGCGCTACGGCTATTGGGCCAACTCCACCAATCAGGGGAATGTGGGGTTGGGCCACGGCCGGCCATTGCCGCTCGAAAGCGCTGGAGACGCTGTAATACATATACCAGGCCTGTAAGTGGCGCTGTAGTCTGCCACAAAAGCAGCGAAGAAGACTTCCCGCCCATAGTTACCATGGTTACCCTTCTGTTTATTCTCCGCTGTGGCTTTCTTTCTCCCTCTCCGAGGCAAGCGTTTGCTCCCGCTGCTTTAATTCAATGCAATCCCTCCCCGTCGAGGCAAGCACTGTAATTATCTCCGGTTAGTCCACCAGCAGATGACAAACACCCACCTCTCCGCCTCTTCCAATGAACGAGGGGACCGTGCGGCAGAGTTTCAGTTTCAGTTTCTTTCGCCGGTCAAGATGTCCGTTAAAGTTTGAATCTTCCGGACAAAATTAGAAAAGTGCCGGTCAAAGGTCTTCTTTGTTATTTATTGAGCTTTAAAACAAATGAATAACGACTCTATAGGTCTATAACAATATAATAAAACACGGTACACAGAGGACGGAGATATTTTTTTCTCCCCCTCTTGAATTGATCAGAGCATGGCTCCCCTCTCCTGCAGGGGGGAGTGATCAGCTGCAGCTCACAGAATCAGCCCTGTAGACAGCAAACAGCACATAGAGCGAAATGAGGTTTGGTATTTTGAAAACAGAAACGTATAAATATACCTTTATATAGGTATGGCCCTACAATATATCATTTAAATATAGCATGCAGGACTTTTAGTTGTATCAGGGTATTCCTACTCTCTGGTATTTCTACTTTATGTTAAGTACAATATCTGAGTACTTCTCCCATCTCTGCCATTTGGTGGTCTGTCTGCCCCCAGAGTCAAAAATGTTTTTATCAACACTAGACATGTGAGGAAAGCCTTCTTTACATCTCCGTATGCTAGTGATATGAGCCGTTGCCAGCAGGCTCTACAGTTTATCTGCCTGCAGCCGCTCACTTGTGACCCATGAGTGTATACACAAGTTATGTAAGTCTTCTCCAAACCTCCAGAGTAACCTAATGGCAACTAACTGCATAATATCAGGCCCCCTTTGCCAACCTCTTAAGCTCGTATGCATGCTGTGTACAAGTCTGTGGATAATAAATAACAAGTAATGCAATAGCACGTGCCCTTGAGCAATGCAGGCAGCAAACTGACAGCAGGGGAGTTTAAATAACGCTGGCTGGTTCCTGGTAATAAAGTAGATGTGCTAGTCTACATTAGGCATAAGGACGAAGTAAGAAATTATAACTTTTTTTGTCTTAAAAAAAAACTTGAACTTGATAGGAAAACAAATCAGATAAAGGTTTTTATTCATTTTCAACAATATTAAGTTTAGGAATCCTTGTTCCAAAGGCTTAGATACATCCTTTTCTTGAAGTACAGGGCTGTAGATAAGAGTCAAAATTATAATCAAACCCAGTTCCAATTAAGTTGAAAGTCTAGGTCAAAATAAAAGTGACTCCAGTTCTGTTGAAGGCCACAATGTGCATTCTTTAGTTGGTCGGATTTAATTCTTTATAGACCTTTCAAAAAATGTGTGAAAAAAACAACTGTGACGTAAAGGTGGAATTTCTTTCATTTGTTTTTGTGTCTGGTTAAGCTAGGCCGTATTGTTTAATCAACATCTCACTTTTACTGAGATCATACTAGTATTTATACATGGTAAAAAATAAAAACTGATGCCCAATCCACAGCAACATTGTAGAGCCAAAACTCTGCTCACATGTAAATAATACACTTGTAAGTTTAGATTAGAAGTACAACATAATACCACTCCTAATATCATACATTTATTCATCGTATTAGTAGTTTCTAAGGCAAAACTATTTGTTCTGATTCCAGTTTTTCCAATGAGAGGTTTAGCTGATAATCTAAGTTGTATATCTCTGTCAATGTATTATGTTGGTCATTGAAGTGACGGCTACATTTGCTGTTCAACTGTTGTTCACGTTTTAAAAGATCCCATCTATCTGTAGTACATTTCACACTTTATCAGTAAAATAAGCCAGAAAAATAATTGTCAAATGAATCAATAAAAAATAGTTAAACTTGATTTCCAAAACATAGCTGCCACTTTAATATGTTAACAACCACTTGTGTAATTGATACAGTATGAGAACACATTATTTTATTTTTGTCTAAAAGCACATTTTTTCATTAGTTACTATGTATTACTATATTATTGTTTTTTTTTATTAAATTGTTCAAAGGAATTTTAATTATTTCACTTGTTTTTTGTCATTAAGCTTTATAATATTATGTTACTGTGTTGAATCCCTTCCACTGTAGAGTGCCATCTCAGTGGCAGCTAATGTATGTTTTTCGCGGTCTTCCTTTAGATTGTAATATCTGTACATTTTGCTTGTTTTTCAGATTGATAGGTATGCCAAAGGAAAAATATGATCCTCCAGATCCCCGCAGATGTTACACCATCATGCCAGCGGAGGAGGTGGCCAATGGGAAGAAGTCTTACTGGGCCGAGCTCGAGATTTCTGGTCAGTCTTACTATGTTTCTCTGAAACTGCTCCCATACAAAGAAATCCCAATGTACTAACACAGACAAACCGAAGGAAGAGGGAGCTCCTACTTTAAGAATCTAGTGTTCTTCGTGCTTGAATATCAAACAGTTGCATGCGCTTTTATTGTTATTAAGACACTTTTTATCCCACTCACTCTGTATTCAGTGTCTTCAGATGCTGCATGTTTTTCAGTTTGTAGGATTTGGAAGATTCAAATGTGTGGTGTTGCATGTCAATCAACAGGAAATAAGTTGACATTACAGTATACTTATCATTTGAGTGATTTATTAGCAAAATGCCTTGTTTTTTCATTTTCTGATATTTTTCATTTTTGTTCAAATGATTAGAAGAAAATGTATCTTATCTGCTGAAGAAAAACATTCAGCAGATGAGTCAAGGATAAGAATAACAGTTGCAGCCTACTAAACGCAAAAATAGATTTTCTTACGAGGATGTTGTTGTTTAAATGATTCTTGGTTAAGATCATTTAAATTATTTTGACTCCCAAACCTTTTCAAAGGACCACAGGGCGTCCTGGTTTGGATGACAACAGCTGAATGAACAGGAAGACGAGTATTAATGGTTAACAAACTATTCTTGGTTGGTTAAAAGTCAAAAGCTTTATGTTATTTGAACTTTTATCTCATTAAATATTAATTACATATTAAATAGGTTTAATTCAGTATTTATATCTTCACTAAAGTAATTGTCCGTAGAGTTCTCTGCTATAGTCTGGTTTCAGTGTCTCATGATTGGTTCTGTTTCACGTGGTTTTCCATGATTTAAAAAAAGTATATTTGGGCTGAAAAACTGAATGTAGTTATTGTTTCTGCATGAAAATAAATGAAAGGGTTTGAGACTATACAGATACGCCGCAGTTCAGTCAATTTCAGTATGTTGAATTGTGTTTTGTTCGATTGATCACACAGCTAAAAATCTGTGTTTCTTTTTGAGTTCTGGAAATAATATCCACTTTTGAAGACAGTCCGTTCCCCTGTTTGCCTTTGCAGGACGGGTGAGGAGCCTGAGCCCCTCGTTATGGACCCTCACCCACCTGACGGCGCTGCACATCAACGACAACAACCTGAGCCGCATCCCACCCGACATCTCTAATCTGTCCCACCTGGTGTTCCTGAACCTGTCGTCCAACAAGCTCCGCAGTCTGCCCGCTGAGCTGGGCAACATGGTCTCTCTCAGGTAGACATCACTGACATCTGACTGACACAAGGACCAACCAAGAGAAAATATATATATATATATATATATCACGGAACAGAAAAGTTAACCTGCCATTATGCTTTGTTGCAGAGCTTTTAAAGGTCACCTATAATGCAAAAAACACTTTTTCATGTCTCTAATGGCGCGTTTCCACTACAGCGCGCAGCCCGGTTTAAGAGGGCTGTGACGTCAGCGGCCCGTCTTTGGTTGCGTTTCCACTTGGCCTAGTACCGGCCGGCGGGTCCTAATTCACAGTTTTTCTGGCCTCATAAAATCGTGGGGCCAGAGACAACGAGGCTGAGTCGGGCTGAGTATGCTAAACTAGAGAGAGCGTCGCTGGCAAGGGGGCTACAACTACAACAAGATGGACATATTTGACCGTGATTTAATTGTAATACACGTTTCAAAATGATGCCGAAGTAACAACATACTGATACCGGTTAGTAAAAACCATGAATTAATGCTTTGTCAAGTCTGCAGACAGACGGCAGGCGAAAAACCTTTTAAAATGCTTGTTTTCTAAATGGAGATTGGCTAAGCTAACGCAGTATATGCTCCGACTGTCCACACTCACAACAACGGCCTATCCAGACATAAATAAAGCAGCGACTGTATTCACCATGACACAGGCAGTCTGTGGTTTGTACTTGTTTAACTTTTGTCTAGTTTCTGAACATATATGAGGAGCTGTGAGCTCTGAGTGCTAACAGCTAACGGCTGTGTTGTTTTTCTGGGGTCCTCTGAAGATCACGTCACGGCTCCGCCTACACTGCGTTACTATAGATACTGCCCCAGTTCCTAAACTGTAATGGAAATGCGCCATAAAGTGAGCCAGTCCTAACGAGGCCCAGCCATACCGAGCGAGGCCGTGTAGTGGAAACGCGCCATTATACATCAATATGTGTCCCCTCTGTGCAAAGAGATTCGGAAAATTTCAGGAAAAAAGATTCGCTCTCTTTTTGTCCTGATCCATTTATATAAAAACCTGTCTGAAAATGAGCTGATCAGATTTTGGCCACTTTGTGATCATAATGTTTTTTTGGCTTGTGTAACCATTAGCCAATCACCAACCAAGGTTACCCCCCCCCCCCCCCCCCCTCCTCTAAAGTACCAGACAGAGAATCAGCTCTTTTGAAACAGAGCTGAAACAGAGGGGTTTATGGGATGCTACAATGATCTGCCAAACACTTCAGAGACATGTTTTGTATATATCTGAAAACTATAATATATTGATGAAAAAGAGTATAATAGGGGACCTTTAAGAATAGCTGAATATTCTGCGATAGGGCTGGAAGATAAGGATGAAATCTCCGTATTCATTATGTCATTTTACATTTCAGTATGGGTTTATGATGTAACCTTTGTGGAAGTTCAATTGATACATTTTCTGATTTTGAAATACATTAGGATCTGTGTTTTTTTAATCATATGAATTGAATACCTTACAAAGCAGGGTTCTTGATCATTATTATTAGGTAGTTATGAAGGTGTATTAGCTTCGGATAAATTCAGGACAATAACAGTGGATTTCTCCACTTTAATTACATACAGGCGGTTCTCTTAGTGGCTGAGATTAACATTAATCAAAAAATATTTGTCTTTTATGGCCGACTTGTGTGAACACTAAATATCGAAATGTCGTTTAATTATGTGCCCGCTCTATCAAGCAACTCTATTCTGTAATTTTTCATTCATTTCGTTTTTGGTTATGATAAATATGCCAGGGACAGGACAATTTTACACAAAGGACCAAATCTTTCTAATGACTGTAGGGGATTCATTCAAGAGATTATGTGCGAAAAAAGCCCAAATCAAAGAACAAAAGTGATCAGAGGCATGTGACATTGCTCAAACCTCAGTTTAGTAGTTATCCCACAGGGCCTAATTTAAGTGACAACTTAGGAAAACGTGATAGATGTTTTGACCGCAGTGATGATACATCAATGACAAGGAATTACTGCATTGTTAAGACAAAGTTGTGAAAGACAGAAATCAAAAAGGTAAATGACGTCTTGATTTCTTGCAGGGAATTGCTTTTGAACAACAATCTTTTACGAGTTCTGCCTTATGAACTCGGGAGGCTTTTCCAGTTACAAACCTTGGGGCTAAAAGGTGAGGCTTTTTATTTGTATTATATTCAGTACATTTATTTGGACTAGCGCTGCACAGTTTGGAAAAAATATCTAATTGCAATTATTTGGACTGATATTGCAATTGGGAATGATTCGTGACATTGTGCGATTGATGATTTTAGCATCATAGTTCTCATTGTCACTGAAATGTATTTAATTATTATGTTGTGATTTATTTTTATTTTTTTTTAAGCAAACAAAAGAATCTGTTTTGTTAAGTCTAAAGAACATGATTTGTAGACCAGGATGTCTCTGAAGCTTCAAATGACTTAATTCAAAAGGATATTTGAACACATAGTTAGCCAAATAGTATTCTTCCTGCAGTTTGAGTCCATATTAAAGTTTGGATAAAATGTAGATCGGTCATTATTTCTTTACAGTACTTTCCTAGAACATATTGTCAGGTAGTTTATGATATGATTGATTTGCAGGAAACCCTTTGTCCCAAGACATCCTCAATCTGTACCAGGAGTCGGACGGAACCAGGAAGCTTTTGAACTACATGCTCGACAATCTAGCAGGTAAACAGCTGCTCCTCCTCACCACCCAGCGACTAGAACTCATGCATATTTAACCTGCAGTTAATTGTAAACCTGAGCAGGTGTGAGATAGCAGGTACACCATTGTGTTTGTCACAGACAGTGAGCACTCATACCTCTTCCCCCCCCCCCCCTCCCTCACCTTCTACAGTGCACCCAGAGCAGCTCCCACAAAGACCGTGGATCACTCTGAAAGAGCGGGACCAGATGAGCCCCTCAGGTACGTTCAGCGGGGTTAAAGGGGCCCTATTATTTTTTGGGGGTTTTTCCATTTCCTGTCGTGTGTTATATAGGTTTTTGTGCATGTAAATGGTCTGCAAAGGATAACATCTCCGAATCTCCCTTAGAGAGAGTTTCTCAAATGGAATAAAAACAAAAAGGTTACATTTTTTAGACAAAATTACATTATTTAATTGTCAGTAGTAAGAGCCAGAAATGTCACAAACACTCCCTCATTTAGCTCAAAAACCAATCTTCCCTCGGTTGTGTTTGCTCTGTGACGTCATGAATGTGCTCTGATGTTTACATAATTGACTCAATAAAAAACAGGCCTGTTATGGCAGGGATGTTAGATCGTATGGTTTCTTTGAGTTGCCAAGAAGGATGAAACTCACTTGCATCCTTATTCTTTACAAAGAATAAAGCTTAAAAAGCACATAAACACACTTTTAGAGCGGCTTTTTAAGTATTTAAAAAAAAATACTTGAGTGGAACAAAAAATAAAGAGAAACATAATATTTTTGTCATACCTTCCTTATACTACAGTATATACTGTAGGTACCTAGTAATGTTCTTTTACACTTTATTTTACTATTTATTTTTATATATCATTTGTAAGTAATGAGCTGCAGCTTTTGCTTAATAAGCTTACCAGGCCATAAACAGACCTGCAACCATTCGAGTTGCAGGTCTGTTTATGGCCTAAAACATGTTTTGTGAGGTCACAGTGACCTTGACCTTTGTCTTCTACATTTTTATTAGGTCATCCTTGAGTCTAAGTGGATGTTTTCTGCTAATCTGAAAAAAATTCCCTCAAGGAATTTCTGAGATATCACGTTTAATAAGCAAAAAACTGAAGGACAGACAAGATAAATACATCTGTCTAGAGTCTAGATTCTAGACGATAGTCATTCTTTAAATGTTTTTCTACAGCTGCGTTCACGGTCATGTGCTACAACGTTCTGTGCGACAAGTATGCCACCCGACAGCTGTACGGCTACTGTCCCTCCTGGGCCCTCAACTGGGAGTACCGGAAGAAAGGCATCATGGAGGAAATCACCAGCTGCGACGCTGACATCATCAGCCTGCAGGTGAATGAAGCAGACGTTGCTTCAATGATTTTCCAGAAAAAAAGGAACAAATCAGACGATAATATGATTTGTTTTGTGTTCAAAAAAGCAAAACTATGTATCTTAGAAGAGTATGTTGAATGGGTTTGTTATTATTTCTCAATTCTATGTATTCGACCAAAATTCTTAAAAATGAGAACCAAAAATCTGGACCTGCTGATGATGATGCTTCAGGAAAACACGAAATGATCCCCAAAATAATAAAGATTTATCAGTGACCTTGGATGTCTGAATAAAATTGGATTGCGATTCATTTAGTAGTTGTTACAATATTTCAAAGTGAAGGACCACACAACTTTTTAAAGTATTAATTCCTGCAAACTATTCAACTTTTTTTTTTTATCAAAAATCATTTCAATAGATAAAGAGGTCAACTCTAGTGATTAACTTTCCTAGAAACTATATTTGTTATAATCATTTCCACTGGTGGACATTTGTGAATATCAGAGATGATGAATTTCAGAAAATCAGAACAACATCATTCAATATATTATACAACTTCACTTTACAATAATTGATGGTATTTTGGTGCCAGATGTATTTGAAACCACATTATTTGGCTATTTAAAAATGCAATTCGGAAATGCAAGGTTCCCTTAAACTAATACTACTATTGTTATAAAAAATAAAATAAAAAAAGGACTTATTGAATGACAGAAACATGTTTTTTCATGTTGAATATTCACGAGAAAAAGCTTGAGTTTACAAGTAGATTTAAAAACAAATTCAATAATCCTAACACGATTTTGGTTCCTTTGTGAAAAGGAAAATATGCCCCCCCCTCCTGACTCCAGGCCGTTTATATTTGGCTAGTGCTCACTCCTCTACACATGCGTTTCATTGACTCTTTTAGGTGACATTTCTTGCCCTGTGTGTCTGCAGGAGGTGGAGACAGAGCAGTACTACACCATGTTCCTGGAAACACTAAAGGAGCGCGGCTACGATGGATACTTCTGCCCAAAGTCTCGTGCCAAACTGGTTTCTGAACAGGAGCGGAAACACGTGGACGGCTGCGCTGTGTTCTATAAGACCGAGAAGTGAGTTCACAGAATATGCTTTATTCAATATATGTATATAAACGTGTAGATTTTGATATCCAAGATTTCTTTCTGCGTTAAGTCCATTTTAAAATGACTCGCCACATTTTTGGTCTGACTGGATACAGTCAGTTGTGTGAGAGGACTACTCAATTGTATGAATGGACTTTGATTCTTGAAGTTAGAGCAACTGTTCATGAGGTATAAAAGAAATCAGCAGCCATCCGTTAAAGAAACTGGAAGTTTGTGTGCAGATTTAAAAAGAAACGGGTTCATGTATCAGTGTTACATGCACGATAATGCCCCTAAAAGCTGTAATTAAAGGCCCTTTGCACACCATTTACATGCACAAAAACCTATATAACATACTACATGTATGTACAATCTGCTTCTGCTCTTTAACAGGCAACTTGTTGCTTTAGCAAAGCTCTTCTCCAAACTTCACAATGGAAATATAAGGTTATTCTGGGGTCAGCACTGTTAGAATTTTATCAGGGAAAATCTGCAGATTACTAAGGACTGACAGAACCCAGGTAAAACCTCCTAAATCCCACCACTGAGTAGAAAGCAGAGGCCCCCCAAACAATGGACTAACTAGATATATAGAGCCTAATTGCATTAATGTGGTTGAATAATGATCTCTGGTCAAGTTCTGAAAGTGTTTTTGGGCCAAAACTTTAACTTTGAATAATACATTTAGTGTTTTAATCTCTGACAAAAAAAACAGTTATTGTTGAAGGAAACAGGGAACATTAATAAAACAGCTGATTTAATGCTTTCAAATGGTATTGTATGAAATAAAGCAAGCACATTTTACATCTGAAAGCAGGAGACTTTACACTGAATACTTTCAATATTAATGCTGCTTTATGGATACTCCTGCAGGTTTACTTTGCTCCAGAAACACACTGTGGAGTTCAACCAGGTGGCCATGGCCAACTCTGAGGGCTCCGAGGTCATGCTGAACCGCGTGATGACCAAAGACAACATCGGGGTGGCCGTCCTGCTCGAGGTCAACAAGGACATGTTCTCCGATGGTAAGAACCACTTTTAAAAAGCAAAGAATTTGACATAAATATCCCTAGGCCACACTTTTTAGGCCTCCAAGTCTTTCAACTTCACAGAAACATCCCATTTTTGCCCACCGGGGGGGGAGTAAAGAAGTATTTTTTATGTTTACCAATTAATATGTCAAATATATTTTTTTAATTTAACATGTCATAACAAGTTCACAGAGCTCAAGGAGACATCTTCATTGCTTTTCTTGTTCAACAGTCCACCATCCAAATATTTTTAACACAGAAAATTACAGCAAATCCTGATCCTTATAACTGAATACACAAGTAATCAATACAGTTAATCCACTTATTGACCCTCAGACATTTGTAGCTTAAAGTTAAACAGTTAAAAAGTGTTTTTGTTTTGTAACATTGATACAAGGATCCAGGGTTTAGCTGTAGCAAAAGTAGTGTAGCCAAAAATACATCTATATTGTTGCAGTCACCTTATGATCAACAATCTGACAATATTTGTTCTAAATAAATAAAAGTAACATGGGAAAATCTGCAATGATTTTGCCACAAGGTGTCAACGTCGACATTAAATGTCCTTCAATGGATTGATGTGGGATGAGAAATCACTGTTATATGTAAATATGTCTAAAGAATATTTATTTTAGTTGAATAAACATTTCATGTTTTTCATGCGAGCCTACCTGAATGCGCGCGCAGGCCCACAGTATATAAGGTGGCTACGCCCCCCGACCGACATCCTTTTTCTCTTCAGCGAGCAGCAACAACTGAAGCTAAACGTGAGAAGATAGATAGAAGAAAGTGAAAGAATGGACTCACCACTCCTCGAACATCGGCCGGGCTTAATTGCGGGCGCTGATCCCCAACGCTGGTGCTTCGAGTGTTTGGGGCCTGACCACGCGGTGGAGGGCAGCAAACATTCTCCGTCCTGCAGTGACTGTCGTGCGCTCCCGCGGCTCAGACGCCAACATCTCCTGGAACACTTCCAGGCGCATTATGTCTCGCCGGATGAGGCGCAGGAACAGGAGGAGCTCGAGGTGGTCGAAATGGAGGACCAGGAGGTGGCCGAGGAGGTGCCGTCCGTGTTCGCCATTCCGACGGGCCGGGCGGCCCCGTTTGTCAAGGAGGAAGAAGACGAGGACTTCTTGTTGTCGGGCGCTTCTGGGTCCGGCGTCCACGAGGGTCCACCGCACAGATCTGCCCCTCAGGATTTCCTGTTGGTGATGCCCATGGCGGCGGAGGTGTGGGTCTACCGCTCCCCCCTCCGCAACCACCCAAACCGGTGAGCCGCCTCCGTCAGGGGTTTTATGGCCCGGTTCAGCCAACCCAGCCGGCCTTTGTTTCGCCCCCGTTGCCAGATATCTGGCAGTGTGTGGAGGCAACGTGGTGGAACCCTCTGAGGACGAGGGCTCCGGTGGCGGGCATGGCGGATTTGCTCAGGGTGCAGGGCCGCACGGACACAGCATGTCCCGGTGTGCCCCCCCTCGATGAGAGCCTTGCGGCCCATCTGCTCCCACTGGCAGCAGGTTGGGCGGAGGGGAGAAGACCCCTTCCCCCGCTGCCTCGTGACCGTGAAACGCTGGAGTATCTTAAGATACTCTTAAGATAAGATAAGATATTCTGGCTCGGGGCACAGAGCTCAGCAGGAAGCCCCCGCCTCCCCGTCTCAGGAAGACCGGAGTGATTATTCGGACCACTGCATCGGGCAGATTAATAATCTGGTCCATGGTGTAGCCGCCGCAGCTGGCCGTGTGATGTCCCTGGCCACAGTGGGATCACGCCACATGTGGTTAGGACTCACGGCGCTCTCCAGGAAGGGCCGTGATGATCTCCTTGGAGCCCCCGTATCCACGGAAGGGCTCTTCGGATCGATCACCTCGGTCACGCAGCGTTTCAGCCGCTTAGAGGAGGAAAGAGCGCAGCTCAGCCGTATGCTGCCGCTGGCTCTCCCTCAGCGGGGTGAGCGTGAGGAGAGAGAGGCGCAGGTACAGAGCGCCCACGGCTCCCGCTGTCTCTCCTGCTCCCTCGGCTGGTTCTACGGGGCGGGTTCAATCCCAGCACCCACGGGGCCAGGCCGGGCGATCCCGACGGGCCTCTGCCCCAGCTCCGCGTCAGCAGAGGGCTGCGGGATGGGGTGCACCGTCCTCCCGGAGACGGGCGGTAGGAGGAAGCGTCCCGGCGGAGAGGGCTCTCTCCACCCAGGATGCGAGAGTGAACCCCCGTCTCCTCCCTCTATGATAGTACTGTGTTGACAAATGCTTTCAATAAAAGAGATGGTTGCATTTATCCCAGTCTAAGAGTCATTTCTCTCCACAATCCCACACTACACCATAATGTTGTCTGTACAGATTCCCCACTCGCCGCCCCAGTTGTAACTCCAGTACAGGAGGCAGCCAGCGGGCGCGCGCATGTGAGTGTGATAAACCGCAGGAAGTGCTATCAAAGCGCTATGCGAGTACAGGGGCATTATGACCGGTGTGATGATGTTAGAAGACACATCGCACCTAGCGTAAAAACTCAGATTAATGCCTTTTTTCCTCTGAGTGAAAACGGCATTATGGCGGAGCGTGCGCTCCCACGCGAGCGTTCAAGGACCTCAGTGGAAAATCAATCCTTTCTGTGTCAGCCCCCCATGGGTCAAACTTCCTTTTATGGAGGGTTTGGCAGCGGAGTGGGCCACCAGAGAGTACCACAGCTTCATAGCTACGGCTCCACAGCTGATTGCACATCCCCTAACGCGATGCTACGGGGAATGGAAGCTCAGCTGTGTATTGACAGAGTGGATGGACAGAACGCTGAGACTGGGTTATTCACTCCAGTTTGGCAGCATCCCTCCTCCGTTCAGAGGCATAAGAGAGGCAAATATGTCATCCCAAGAGGAGATTCGGCAGAGATTCAGGCCCTGTTGCAAAAACAGGCGGTGTCTGTTGTGCACTCTCAAGACTGATGCGGCTTTCACACCAGCGCTTTTCCCTTTCTAGCTCCTAGCTAGAGCTTTTCTGGTTCAGCTCCGGTTTCCCTTTTCTGCTCCCGCTCTGTTCACACCGCCCAGAGCTGCCGCTGCTGCGTCATGATGTCACCGTTTACATCGCTGATTTTCTCCCCAACGGAGCTCACAACAACAACAACAACGGGGGACTGCGTCGGGTCGATGATCGTGTTGCTTTTAATCATACGAAGCCAGATTAAATTAAATAACGACTTCTCCAACCTTATACTTTTCTCCAGAGTGCCGTGGTTCATTGTTTATGAATGTGTTTCAGCGGCATTTACCGACCGCTGCAGTGCTGGCTGCTCTTCCACGGGAGTGTATTCTCCCGTTAGCTCCGGGTTAGCTCACACGGCTCTAAAGTATTCACTGTCTGACTGTCACACAAGCAGCTGATACATATCCCCAGTTCCCCTTAAGTGAATGTGTGTCAGTCTGAATTTACGCTGTTTGGCATCACAACGCTGTTATGAAAGTTTCTCTGGTATAACATGGGTGATGTTAGCATAGCAACCAAAGCTAAATTGACGCTTACTTTCATGTCGAAATTGCTCCGAAGCACAAAGTATTTGCGTTTTGCCTTCCAGGGGGTAGCCTATGAGTACAACAGACTGCCGTTCGGCTTCTCCCTATCCCCACGCACGTTCAACAAATGTGTGGCCACAGCACTGCAGCCGCTGCGCGACCATGGCATGAGGGTGTTCTTTTATCTGGACGACCTCATAGTCATGGCCAGGTCCAGGGAATGGGCAATGTTTCACACAGCCCAATTGATCCTACACAAGTTGGGTTTTGCGGTCAATTGGAAGAAGAGCTCCCCCATACCTCACCAGCAGGTAGAATATCTGGGGGTGGTGCTCAATGCAGGCAGACTACGTGCCACCCTGACAGAAAGCAGACAGGCATCCCTGCTTCGGGTAGTTTGCAGACTGCGTCAGGGGGCGACGGTGGTAGCTTTGACCATCATGCAGACTTTGGGTCTCATGGCGGCTGCTCACTTCGTGGTGCCACTCGGACTGTTGCATACACGTCACCTGCAGAGGTGGTTTATCGGCCTTCGTTTAGATCCCAAGAGGCACAAACGACGTCTGGTGACCATCCCCCCCCCTCAGTAGAAACATGTGCTAGTGAGGAGCGACAACCGCTCCACAGTGTTGTACATCAACAGGCAGGGCGGAGTCCGCTCCGTAGCCTTGTTGACCGCAGCAGAGATCCTGTGGTGGTGGGCTTCACAGAATGTGTTGTCTCCAAGGGCCCTGCACGTCCCGGGACAGGAGAGCGGGGGGGCCGACCTCATGTCAAGAGGCGGGCCCCTGCCAGACGAGTGGAGGCTTCACACGGAGGTGGTGAAGCAGGTCTGGACTCAGTTCGGGAGAGCAGAGGTGGACCCTGTGCCCTGTGGTTCTCCCTGGCCCGGTGGGACAATCCGCCCTTGGGGGTGGACGCATTTGCACACGAGCCATGGCCAAGAAAGCTGCTTTACGCCTTTCCACCGCTGCACCTTATCCCCCCCCTCCTGGAGAGGGTGAGGCGGGAACATCTGTCAGTCATCATAGTGACCCCAGGTCGCCGCTTGGCTTTAATCTTCCACCCGATATTGGGGCCAGGGAGGCTAAATTGCACCTTCTCTGCCCAGTGCGTGCGCTAGCATGTTGTGTAGAGCACACGTCTGCCATTAGGCGCACTGAACAGCTGTTTGTGTGCTTTGGGGATGGTGTGGCTGGAAAAGCTCTCTCCAAGAGGCGCCTGACAGGATGGCTCTGCGAGTGCATTACACATGCCTATGGATGGGCGGGGAGAGCCCTCCCCACTGGGGTCCGTGCACACTCTACACAGGCTGTGGCTGTGTCAACAGCCTTATTCAGCGAGTGTAGAAGATATATGCACAGCGGCTTCTTGGTCTACACCAGGCCCCTTCATAAAGTTTTATCTCTTGGTCATGTCTGGCTCCTTCTCGTCGTCTGTGCTTGCCGGGGCAACACATGACTGGTGAGACGGGGGGGGGGGCTGTGGGTCAGTAGTTATCTGACCCCCCCTGGACATAATGCGCTTATGTTTTTTCCCCATGCTCCTTAGGGACCCGGGAAACATGGTGCGCAGTAAGCCCCATACAGGGCTGGAGGACTATCCCCACTATCGTCCATGCACACTCTACACGAGGTAAGCGTGTGTGAGTGTGCCTTATCCAAGCTGCGGCCCCGACTTCTCCAAGGTTACAACCGGATAGGAGGAAGTGGGGGTGTGGTGGATGTTAGCCAAAGCCGGTCAGGGGCAGTGTGATGGGTCGATGTTGTTGGACGACAGGGCGTACCCATAGAGTCCAGTGGAGGGCGGAGCTTGTGTGATATATAACTGGGGGTTACGTATTGTAACCCTAGTTATATTAGCACAGGCGGAGCCCTCTAACTGGGGGCCTTGTCTTTCCTATGCCGCTCGCTGAAGAGGGTGTAGGATGACGGTCGGGGGGCGTAGCCGCCTTATATACTGTGGGCCTGCGCGCGCATTCAGGTAGGCTCGCCCCGATTGGCCGGCTACGTTTATGCAACTCAGTAGGTGAATGCACGCATAGCATGATAGAGAGTAGTACCCATAGAGTCCAGTAGAGGGCGGAGCCTGTGCTTATATAACTAGGGTTACAATACGTAACCCCCCGTTCTTCCTTTTAATGGTTTTATTTTTACAGTGAGAGTAATTCTGAGTTTCTAAAGTTGCATCTGCGGTCTGTGCTTTACTGTAACCAAACTCGCCATAATAAGACCATGTTAGGGTTTTTGGGGGGGGTTTCTACATACAAATGTGACTGTTGAAAGTTGAATTTAATTCCACCGTTTTTCCACTCCTTAAAAGTCTTCATAATCCAATGTTGTCCTCTGTTTTCAGGCGTGAAGGTGCCACAGGAGAGGCAGCTGATCCTGGTGGCCAACGCCCACATGCACTGGGACCCCGAGTACTCGGACGTCAAGTTGATCCAAACCATGATGTTCCTGTCGGAGCTGAAGAGCATCGCTGAAAGGGCTTCGAGCTCCATGGCGACTGGCTCGCCCGCCTCCGACCCGTCCTCCATCCCCATCGTCCTGTGTGCTGACCTCAACTCGCTGCCCGACTCCGGTACGACTGTCACTCTTACAGGAACCTCGGTTCAGTATTGTTCTTGGATATTACTAGTTTTTATCCAAATATATAGATATTTGCTTGATTACTGTGGTACTCCTTTTGAAATAAAAACGTTACCTTTTTCAATAATCCAGGTGTGGTGGAATTCCTGAGCAACGGAGGAGTGGCCGACAACCACAAGGACTTCAAGGAGCTACGCTACAATGAATGTCTGACCAACTTCAACTGCAACGGCAAGAACGGCAACTCAGACGGAAGCATCACACACAGCTTCCAGCTGAAGAGCGCCTACGACAGCAATCTGATGCCTTTCACCAACTACACATATGACTTTAAGGTACCGTCTGCCTGAGAGCTGGAACAGCTAATTGGATTTTCCTTTTCCAATGTAGGCTGCACAGTGGTAGACTTCTAGATGTATTTCTCCTTTTGCCACAAGCGGCCATTGGTCTGGTAGATTCAGTTAAGTTGAAAGTTCTGTTTTCGTTGAGTATTTTTGTTATGGGATGAAAAACCCTGAACATTGCTCTGTCTGAGCCATTACCTTCACTACAGTGCTATTTGTTCAGTTAGTCTTGTGGTTACCGCCTTGGTTTCTAATGACGCATGCAGGCAACTGTCGCACATTCATTTACATTTCCTCGAGTTGTTTCATCAGCAGCAATGGACTTCCCCCTTATTCAAAACCTTAAACTAGGACTTCACTGATCACTAATTTACATTTATGTCTGTAAATAAATGAAAAATCCAAACACATTTCTCTTTTACTATAAACCGAGGGCAGTGAGTGGAGATTGAATTTCCTTCACACAGATCAAGGCTAGCTATTTTCCCCTTTTGTCAATATTAGCATCTTATTATTTGCATGCATTCTGAATAAGAGTCAATCTATTCGTTCAATACAAATTCAAGAAAAAGCGTTTTATTCTAATGTGTGGTCTGAAGTATCTAAAGTATTCAGTCTCAGTGTACAGAGTCTTTTCCCCCCCCCCTTAAACAAAATGTTGTCTTTGCAGGGCGTGATCGACTACATCTTCTTCTCAAAGACCCACATGAGTGTCCTGGGCCTGATGGGGCCTCTGGACAGCCAGTGGCTCGTCGACAACAGCATCACCGGCTGCCCCCACCCCCACATCCCCTCAGACCACTTCTCCCTGCTGGCCCAGCTGGAGCTGCACCCACCCCTGCCCCACCCGCTCACCCCCCTCAACGGGCTGCACCTGCCGGTCCACAGGTAGTGCAGCCTGAGAGAGCCTCCCCTTCAGAACACTGCCCCCTCCCCCTTCTGTACAGATTACTGCTCATGTTAAAACTCTGACACCATCCGACCCGAGACACACTTTTAAAGGAGTGAAGTATTTGCCCGTTTGTTGCTCCTCTTTGTGTTTTTGCACACTGTAAATGTTGGTTTTATCACATGTTCTCCTCTTGGAAAGGCTTCATACCAAATGTTGGGCTTGGGATGAGGTTGCTATGGTAACCCCCAATGTCAATTGTTTTTTTTGCCTTATATAATACCTGCTTGTAGATTCTGCTCCAACAAGAACCCTTTAACTTAAACTACCCACTTTTTAAAGAAGTACTCAACAAATGTCAACAGATTTGACATTTGACAGAAGTTTTTAGAGTAAAAACACAACATATTACTAATGCTGCACCACACGTATGATGTGTGGAAGTCACAGTATATAGAACGAGAACCTGCGATCACTCCTTAATAAACTGACATGTTTTTTAACGGAAAGAGAAACACTATAAACTGAAAGTTGGAAATGTTTACAAGGAGGTGAAAGCTTTGTTTACAGCAGCCGTTTTTGTAAACAGAGGTCTATATATTTTTTAATGTGATCAGCAGAGAAATGCCAAAATACTTATTTCAATTAAATGTGGAGAAAATTAAAATGTACAATGTTAACAAGTACTGATTGGACATTTTTTAAGTACTATGGTGCTATGTGAATGCATCTTAGTTTCTACATTCACTTTTATGATTTTATTTCTTCAATAATACTTGAACCTCCCTTTTATCATTGCTAAATATTATAGTCGCAGAGGTATTATTTGCAAACAGTGAGTTCCTTGCAGTATGATGAAGTAATACAATTTGTTCAGTCAAAGTTAGAGCTCACATCCCAAATAATTATAAACATTGCAAACAAATTAGCCCCCTACTCTTTAACAAAAATTGTTTAAGACATTAAATATATTTAAACACAATCCTGACCAACAATATACTTCATTCAAACACTTACTGTCTTAAAAGAGTCCCATATCCCCTCACCTGACTGGCCAAAGATTCCCCCTAAAATGAGTGACTTATGCTCTGTCCACAAAGAGAAACATTTATTTCATTGTGCAAGAGAAAAAAAAAAAACTTCCTGAGAAGGATCTTCCAATTATTCGTGACCGGGAGCTGAATGTATTTACCAGAAGCTCACCATGAGATTGGTTGTTGCCAGATTCCTGTTGTGTTTCTGTCAGATTATTAGAACTACTAGCCCTTTTATGTAAGTTGTAACTCAGGGCTATGCTATGCATCCAACATTACCTCTCAAACTGAACACTCAGAGTCCTGTCATAAGAGCAAAACCAAACGGGAAGCTATTGGTTTGAAATAGTTTATAAAGCACAGGTAATATATGTACTTGCATACATATATGTTGTTGTTGTCATAGACATCTCACACTGCTGCTGCATTTTCTCAAGTTTTAAAAAATCATAACTTGGGACATTTTAATTACATATCTGAGTTTTCACAAGGTGCAAAACAAATTCAGATAAATATGTTTTATTGAATGTGAGATGATGGGATAAAGATAGCAGGGTAGGACTGGGTATCAATACTGATGCAGTAACTGATTCTCAGTACCAATACAACAATTACTTCAATATTTGAAGTAATTCCCAAATGTTGAGTGTTGACTGGTGACATGAGGTAATTAACAGGGCAGCAAACAAAAACAATCTTTCTTTTTCACTTTATTTAATTTCTTCCTGTACAATTGGAGTAAGACGCTTTTGCAATCTAAGCAGACAAGCACTTTGATTGAGACATGCAGCAGGTGGCAGCACAGGGACATGCAGGGCCTTGTATTAGACGAACACCAGCAGAAAATGTTGGGACCATTGATCTCAACACAATCAGACAAACCCTAAATAAAACTCAAGTCTTTTGATTTAAATCAGCAATAATTTGACTAAAGAATTGGTAAAAGTTAACAAATCTGGTCAGACATTTGGTGCCAGCTTTCATTGATTAATATGTCTCGATATCGATTGGTACAAAAGGAAGTATTGAGGTTTGATACCCAGCCCTACCCATGCAGAAAGACTCATCTCACACCGAGGTGTCCTTTAAACAGTGATGTTTTGAAATGGAATTAGTTAAATAAGTCAAAAGAATTGGCTCATTTTGGGATAAATGATGTAACCTCAGCTTTATAGCGCAGACACATGAGTTCACCCGGCGTGGACGGGCAGTGTCAGCTTTGCTTCATTTGCACATGATTTGATGCTCACGCTTAAGGATACTCCTATACTTGTGAGCATTTTGAGGCCTATACTTCACTCCTAAACTCAACTGACCTTTTCTGATTTTGTACAACAGCTGTTCATAAATGAAATTGCCTTTCATTACGGGTGTCTTTCACATCTGTTAAAGTAATGTACCCTTCTCAGATTAAGGGGCACACAAATCAAAGATGTACCTGGTGTTAAACTTTTTTTTTCTTTGCTCGGTGTACTCGTGTGAATACCACCACCATACTGTGGAGACAACACTGGTCTCTGTCAAACTTTGTTTTTAAACTACGGGCATTTTTTGTCTCAAACAAACATGCAGTCTCTCAATTGGTACTTTGTACAACTCAGTATTACCAAGTTTTTGAGGAAAAAAAGATAAATGTTCTAGGTTTTAAAAGCAGTTTGTCTTGATGGTTTTTATTTCTCCACTACACATCTTAACTATCCACTCAAAGCTTTTCACGCTCTGAGATGATGCTCAATTATTCTCTCTTCTTTCACATCTGTCTTCACACACATCCGGAGCCACCTTTTTCACAATAATATCCAACTATCATTACCTAAAAGCATTTGCCCTGTATATTTTATACCTTTAAACCGCAACTCACATACTTTTTCTACAAACAATGTGCATAGTTTGTACAATTTCTCCCAAAGCAGCACTGCCCACGAGACCAAAACACTCAGAGATTACCGTCCGTCCGTCAACGTACCATCAACCAGACATCCATCCGTCCGTCCGTCCGTCCATCCATCCATCAACCAGACATCCATCCATGCATGCATGCATGCATCCATCCATCCATCCATCCATCAACCAGACATCCATCAACCAGACATCCATCCATGCATCCATCCATGCATCCATCCGTCCATCCATCCATCCATCCATCCAATCAGACATCCCATCTTTCTCATCTCTTTACCCATCCATCCAATCAATTATTGCTCACCTCAGACTGTTTTTTCTTTTAAATCAAACATGTTTTTGTATCTACAACATCAAGGAAAGAAAATGTCCTCCACATATCTGAAATGCACGCTCTCAGTTGTTTGTGGTTTCAACTGGTGATTTTGTTTTGATGCAGTTTTTGGTGTTAAGAGGTTACTGTATTTTACACAGGATTATGGCCAAAGGCTGGTTGTGGCCAATGAGATGAAAAGTGTTTATCATTTGGACGAAGATTTTGTTGTCACTATCTGCTTTTACATGTTAAAGATCACAGGAAACATGAACCTAAAGGATGCTGTGTAAATATGTGCTGGTCATCTATTAACCTGTCATTTAAAGCACCACAAATGCCAAATAAGTGATACAAAAGTATACACAATTTGAACCATGTCACACAACTTTCTAAATACATGGTGTATCATGAATATTTTCAGTAAATATTTGATCATTTGCATAACTGACAATAGGTGAATGCTCTGGTTAATTAGTTCTACGAGGCCAATATAAAATGACGACAAATGAAAAAGTAGTGAACTTTAATGTCAAAAGTTTACTTACTGAGAATTTGACTGACAAAGCAACTTTCACTGCCTTTCCTTAAACTCGCAATTGGCATCTTTCAATTCCAAGAATTAAGAAGAACAAGAAATGCAAAGCTGTCTTTTTCAAAGATGCTGCATATCAGCAACTTTCAGCAGATTTGTTTTAATCATGTGAGTGGAAATGTGGTTAGGATCCCCAGGCACCAGCAGTCACCACTGAAGGTGCTACAGTATTTCTCTGAATGGTTAACTACATTTCAACTACGTAACAACGGTTTTTGGTTTCTGTTCTCCGACTCCAGAGAAGCAGCTCTTCACCACATTGGTTCTTCAATCCAACCTGCTTCCACCACAGACGAGAGGAAGCAGTCAGTGAGCGTTTGGTTGAAAGGAAAACTTGCAGCTTTGCGGGGGAGAGCTGATAAACTGAGACAGAGCAGTTGGTTCTTGTGAAAGCCAGTGTGCGTCATGTCTGACAATGAAATATTTCAAAGTTTTACAAAAAGAAGTAACAGTTCGTCTGCAGGATGAGTGTCTAACGTAGGTGGAAGTGCTGCATTTGCGATTTTCCTCTGACAAAAATATACACGCTTATCCTCTGTAGAGGTCCTTTTAACATTTGTTAAGTGTTATAGCAGGTCAAAAATTATGTTTAGTTCTCGTAAGAAATGTAAAGTGGAATTGTAATCCAACACTCATTTCAAATAGGATAACAACTGCATTAAGGAATGAATATGAATGAACAGATACAAATATTTAAAATTGGTGAAATAAACATAATTGATATATATCTTTTAATGAAAGTACAACTTAAAAAAAGAAAAAGGGTGATCTTTACATTACATATATAAAACTGAAAAATAAGAATGGCTACCAGAGATGGAAGAAGAGCTCTTTAACTTTTGCTTAAAGGGCACCTATCATGCAAAAATATTGTATACATAAATATGTGTCCCCGGTGTGTAAGGAGACTCACAAAGTATCAGAAAACAACCCTCTCTCTTTTCCTCCTTACCCATATCTCTAAAAACGGAGGTACAACGGAGCTGTTCCAGATTTGCTGAGAACTTGACGTCATTACTAAAATGTGGGCTGGCTTTACATTGAACTCCTGTCAACGTCCCCCCGCACGTCCCAACCTATCGTCCCCATATACAGTCGCTAGCTGAAACCGTAGCTGTGTGTCAGTGTATTCAGCAGGATGTCTATGAGAGGGACTAAGAGTCAAGTTGTTATATATATATATATAATACATATAATGGCACTATTCTAACAGTAAACACTGAATAAAGAACATGTCAAGCTATGTGCTGTATCAGAAACAATGCATCAAGTGTTTTGGAAGTAATAAGGTCTTTGTTTACATTAGCAAGCATCGCTAACACTCAGAGCTAACGCTGTACTGGAGAGAACATGTGTCAAGAAGACGGATGTAAAAGGTACTGTCCTTGTGGTAAACCCGCAAGAGAAAAAGCGTTTGAGCTCCATACCGTTTCAGAAATAATGCTTGATGTGGTTTGGAACATAATATGGCGTTTAATCACGGCAGCGTTAAGCTGAGTTTCTGCCGGTAGACACTCTTCTCTACAGAAAGCACACCGCTTGCATGCGCTCCAAAGGGGCGTGGCCAGCAGCAGCCTGGTTACATTTGAAGCTACGGACCCAGAATCAGCACTTTTGTAACAGGGCTGAAATAGAGGGGTATGAGGCATGGCTACAATGGGTGATCTATTTGGTATGTGGAGCAAAACACTTCAGAGACATGTTTTGTATAGATATGGCCCTATAATATATTGTTAAAATATAGCATAATTGGTGAGCTTTAAATTATTGTGTCATAATTATTGTTGCATTATTGTGTTGCACTTTGTAAAGGTGGGGTTTATTTAATTTACGTTATTTACTGCTGGGTAGCTAAACTTATAATAATATATCATAATTAGCTCGTAACAACAACTGAAGAATAAATGTATTGGAGTAAAAAGGTAGCATAATGTGAAAATACTCAATTGGTGCAGTACATGAGTAAATTAACTTAGTTACCTTCCATCATTGGTGAGTATTAGAACTTTAATCATGTTGCTGTGAAGACCTTCTCACTTAATTTGGGGATTTTTTATGCTTACATATAGATTGAAATCCTCTCAGTCGTAACATTTTTAAAATTATGTTGCGTTTTGCTGAATTGACATACTAGAGGACAACTTTTAACAAAGTTATAAAGTGCTTTGCAAGGGGAAAAAAACACTAAATCCCCGGCAAATGAAAATGAAAACGAACAATGAGACTTTTGGGGGGGATTATTAATAAAGTGAGTGGCCCCAAAAAAAAGCAATTCAGTATAATGTTTTTCTAAACACACTTTTTTACATGAATGAATGGAGCACTTCTACAAAGGCTGCAGCTGTGTTTAACATGTGAGCTGTTACACCTCAGATCATACAAAACCCCAACAGCAGTATCAACCCTCCACACAGCCCGACAACAAGAAAAGGCAAACAACATGGCCTTTTTCTCTTCTTTTATTCTTTATAAGAAGACAAGTAATGATAACACAACACTAAAATGACAGGTTACAGTACCAGCCCAGCATCATTGTGTATTCACATTTACAGGAAAGCATTCTTTGCATTCTATTGATTTTGTAATAAAACCATCACAGAATTACTTCACAGTACAGAGTTATGGTTTAAAAAAAAGAAATAGCAACATTTATATATTTTAGAATCTGAGTATCCATACAGCAATAATGAAATCCACATTAAAATGTATATAACATGGGAGTAAAGCAGCCCCGTTAAAGTGAAGTACTATCAACTGTCAGTACTTCAGGCATCTGAGAAATAAGTAAGACAGATTGTTTATTGACATTTTCCGAAAAAGGCAACACAAGAAAGGCAAAAGAAGAATTTTTAATGAAAGTGTTGAATCATTTGAATCATTAGGTAGTTTTTAAAGCTGGACATATCTCAGCCCTCCCATCTTAATTCACAGCTTGATACATTTAATTGAAGCCATTGTTATGTCACATGTTGCCACAGATTGTGATCAGAAGTTGTTTGTGGAAGCGTTGGGTGACACAGTGGTTGAGCTGGAGTTCCCATCTTGACTGTAATTAAAACAAGACAAGCTAAATAACTCAATACAATTATTCAGAAGGCAATTAAACCCAGTGGCTAAATGTTGTATTGTGATCAGGGTGGACATGATACCAGAGTGGGGAAATATACAGCGTTATATGATGCAAGTTAAGTTTTTATTACCATTATCCTATTAAATGGGGCCCTATTTTGTTTATTTTCAGGTTTATTTTTGTATCGAAATATCAGTTTAGACACTTTGCCATGGCATGGGGCCGAGAAAATAATGGCTTCATTTGTTTGTATTTGTTTTCAGGGACAGAGGGAGACAATAGACACATTCCCATGTCAATAAAGACAGAAAAAAGGTAACAATGCCTCTCAACAAACATTTGTCCATTTCTCTGTTGACATGTAAAGCTAAACGAGGATTAGAAAGCTGTCAGTGAGCTGAAGAATCATTCAGGGAGTTGAAGATCTTCTGTTTCCAAAAAAACAACATTTGTAGATTTTTGTATAGAATGTATTATACATTTAAGGAAGAAAAACAAAAGAAAACACATCTCCATAAACATTACCAAACACTGTAAACTAACACTTTACTGTAGCATAATTGTTTGTCTATTAAATGTCAGAAACTTGTCTAATGGATTTCTACCAATGTGGAGTCCAAAATTCAGAGATATCAGTTTACAATGGAAAAAAGTACTATTGTGTTTAAACTGTAGATATTGTAATTGTTGTTTTTGCAATCATTAATTAAAATAAGCCTATCATTACCTTTGCAGATTGCTGATCAGTACGTTGACCCAGTTCGCCGCTGGGT